TTCGCGGGTGTTGCCCCTTCGCGGGTTCTACCCCTTCGCGGGTTCTGCCCCTTCGCGGGTGTTGCCCCCTCGCGGGTTCTGCGGTTCTAGCCCTTCGCGGGTGTTGCTCCTTCGCGGGTGTTGCCGCTTCGCGGGTTCTGCACCTTCGCGGGTTCTGCCCCTTCGCGGGTGTTGCCCCTTCGCGGGTTCTAGCCCTTCGCGGGTGTTGCCCCTTCGCGGGTGAATTCGCGGCTCCTTTCCCTTCGCGGATTCTGCTCCTTCGTGGGTTCTGTCTCCGAAGATCCTTGCCATCGCCAAGGCCATCTGTGCGTCCTACAAGCTACCATGCATGCGTGCCTCCGATGCCACGGGGCTGCGGCCTGTCCGGAGCCTGAACCTCTCTGCAACGGAGGCGTCACTGCACGCTATGCGCGCCTTTCGTCTCCTTGCGCTGCTTGGCCTTGGGCTGACCAGTGTCAGCACCAACAAAGGCGGCACCAAGGCCTTGTATTTTGTGAAACAACCCAGCGAAGTGACTGCTTCGCCTACTCTCACTGCATCTGTGCAGTGCCTCGGCGCCGAGGCGACCTATGTCACGGCCTCGCGCGCAGATATTCTGGCGAGCAAGTTTCGCGCACAGGAAGAAATTGCTTGGCCGGACTTGACCTCCCAGGTTGTCCAGCAGAGCATCGTCGCTGTCCAAACGCAGCTCGGTGAGCTGCTTGGCCAGCAGGCGCAGTAGAAGCAGAAAGTCCTACGGAGGTCTCCTCCGATGATGATTGAGTGGAACGAGTGCCGACATGTTCCTCTGCCACTTTTGCTGCTGCCATAAGAGCAGCTAGACTATTCGGATGATGACTGAGTGGAACGAGTGCCGACATGTTCCTCTGCCACTTTTGCTGCTGCCATAAGAGCAGCTAGACGATTCTACGGGGATCGTGCTCGGTGAAATTAGACAGCAGCCCTGTAGTCTTGTTTTTTCTATAGAATGCTTCTGTCAGGTGCATGTGCAGCGTGCTATCGGGAATCTCAGTTTCTTATCGCAGTCACCTGCATCAGCATGTTCCCCCGTCGCTTTTGCTGCTCGGACTTTTAGTAGCAACGCTGTTTACGAGTACCCGCGCCTCCCGAGTACCAGCGCTTCGCATGATGGAGGCCGTCTTCGACTGCGCCTTGCAGACGTGCCCATGGTGCTCGGGAGACGTCCGACTAGAGTCCGTGCAGACGGGTCTGCGAGTGCGTGGGCTGTCCTACGAGAAAGGCCTTCAGACTCTTCGCGTCCAGACAAAGCGCTGTCCGATGTGCAAGCTTGTCTCTCGTGGATGCTGGGCCATGCCCACGACAGGCGACCTGGCGGTGCCCTTGTTAGCTGCGGCGCCCGAAACGAGCTCCTGGTTCCTCTTCCGAGTACGACTTCGCGAGAACGGCTTGGCTGCCCTCAGTCGCACGTTCCTGCAGTACGTGACGGCCAGTCTCCTGCATCTGCGCGGTTCTTTCAGCGGCATTGCTAAGGTGCTCCAAGACCTGTTTCCGCATAGTACCCTCGACTCGCAGGAGGTGCGTCGAGCCCTGGAGCATGCCTGGTTGATCCACGAGACCTTGTCCTTGACATACCCCACTTTCTTTGGGCGACCTTGTGACATTCGCGTGGATCGCGCGGATGCATTTCTGGCGGAGGCGGAGAGCGAGCTCGTGCGGTTGCTTGGAGTTCAGGCCACTGCTCACAGCTGCCAGGGCTGCAGCAACGGCGTTCTAACAGGAGATGGCGGCATGAAGCTGACAACCGCCCTTTGCAACGAGCGAACCAGCAGTTACCATGCCAACTCGCAGCTCCAACTGAAGGTGCTGGCTGGCTGCTCGCGGCGTCCCGTCAACGGCAGCCTCTTTTGCAAAGCGCACCAGGTGCCCGCTTGCCTGGCTGGGATCGGCCCGGAAGTGCAAGCGCATCGCAAACAGCAGGGGAGCGTGCTATTCAGACTTTCTGGGCACGAGGACATCACCCGCCACACCTCCCCGCCCACACTGACTAAAGTAATGTGACGTCACAGATTTGATATGTAGGCCGTCGGCACGTACCCCGACCCAATCGCTTGTCGCAGGACTACAAGCCAGCGTGCGAGATACCGACTGCTCGGCTGCGCCAATATGACTCGCGGGGCGTGCTCGCCGACTATGGAGAGCTCTCGACACAGTGGTCGTCTGCTGAGGAGGAAACGGACTTGGTCGACTCCGTCACTTTGCAGTTGGAGCCCTCTGATGCTGCATCAGGATGTCGCTGTGCCAAAGATGAGCGGAAGCGCCTCGCGATACGCAAGTACGCAGGTGTCTTCGTGCTCGTGCTGCCTTGTGGTCACGTTGTCCATGTGTCGCGGTCGGCTCCGAGAGTCTGCCTCAAGTGGCCATGGCTTTCGCCGAGGGTCTTCGACTGCTGCCGACCAAGAGCTTCCTCCTTTACGACTTTGCCTGTGGGCTGGCACGCTTTCTTCGAAATCCGGTGCGTGCTAGGGCCACCGAAATGCATGCCCGTTTAGCAGCGTGCACTTTTGTCATTCCAGACTCGCACCTCCGTAACCACACGGCCTGCTTGGACCCCAGCAATAACACCTACTACTTGCCGGAGGTCCGCAAAGCTGCTCACCCGCGAGCCTTGCTGGCGTGAATTGTGAAGCTCAGGAGCAGGTGTTTTCCTGGGTCAAATGGTTGACCCATACAGCAAACCCCATGACCCCGGCCAACACCGTGCCTTCTTCAAGGTACTGGTCCTGCGACGCAACATGCGCCGCGAACGGATCACAACGCCGCAGCGCCAGAGGCTGCGACTCCGACGCCCCGCTCTCCTGCGGAACGCGCGGGCTACTGTGGCTGAGAGGCGGTCCTGCACTTCCTCTTCGGGTTCCACTGCAGCACTGCAAGCGCCTGTTGGTCCCGCTGCTGCTGTTGCACCCACGTCCTCCGCGGAGACCGATGCTGCAGTCGTCGCTGCCGAGATGCCGAGTCAGCCAGGCCCTGGGTGCCCCAAAAGGTTGTTCCTCATCAATCTTCGAGACGGCAAACTTCATCGCCTGGAGCACGGTACACTGCCTTGTGCATCGCGCTTCCCTGTGAATGCGGTCTGCACCACGCAAGCGGATCATCGCAGGGTTCGAAAGTTTTGCCTGAAGAACGGTTGCTTCTGAGGCGGCTGTCAGGTCCCAGATCAAGGCTACCGTTTCCTTCCGCATGAGCTGCCTCCTGCAGATGCATCGTCCTTTGCATCGCATGCTGCGTTTGCGAGCCCGTTTGAAGTCTCCTCCGATGATGACTGAGTGGAACAAGTGCCGACATGTTCCTGTGCCACTTTTGCTGAGCAGCTAGACTATTCTACGGGGATCGTGCTCGGTGCAAATTAGACAGCAGCCCTGCACCCTTTTTTGGTCTATATAGAATGCTCCTGTCGGGTGCATGTGCAGCGTGCTATTGGAAATCTCGGCTTCTTCGTAGTAGCAGTAGTAGTAATTAGTAGTAGTAGTAGTAGTAGCAGAAGTAGAAGTAGTAGTAGTAGTAGTAGTAGTAGCAGCAGTAGTAGCAGCAGCAGCAGCAGGAGTAGCAGTAACACTAGTAGTCGTCGTCGTCGTAGTCGTCGTAGTCCGACTACAGAGAGTAGTGCTAGCCC